GTGTGTGTGTGTGTGTGTGTGCATGTACTGCCAAGTGCCAAAGCATCCGTGTGGAGGTCAAAGGGCAGCATTCGGAATTCAGTTCTCTAAGGATTGTCGGCAAACACCTTTAATGGCTGAGTCATCTCCCCACCCACCCTTAAAAAAATTTGAAAACAAAATCTGTAAATGAAGTGGGGCATGCCTATAGTCCCAGATACTGAGGAGAGCAGGGGGCAGAAGGGACTCGAAAGTTGGGGGCCTGCCTGAGCTCCATAGCAAGCCCAAGGGCGAAACCTTGCCTTAAAATTAAAACAAACAAATCTAAAAACAAAACAAAACCCAAGTTTAGAGGCAGAGCATGGGAGGGGGGAAATCTTTTTTTTTTTGAAACAGGGTCTCTCTCCATACCCCTGGTTGCCCTGCAGCTCACTCTGTAGACCAGGCTGGCCTTAAACCCACAGAGATTCATCTGCTCCACCTCCTGAGTGGGGGATTAAAGGTGTGTGCCACCATGCCCAAGAAGATATAATGAATTGTTAACATGGTAAATTATGCTGTGGGAAATAAGGTAAGAGGTGGAGAGGATGAAGTGTATCGTTTTTTACTCATTGTATGATTTGCGTCCAAGAGACCGTGTTTGTATGGTGTTTGCATAATTTTCAGGATTTATTTTTACTGTTAAGGAAGAAGAGGGAGCCTGGAGCCATCTCAACCCACTTACTCTCTGGAAGCAGTGTTCAGATTAAGAGTGGACTGGCTTAGCCGGGCGGTGGTGGCGCATGCCTTTAATCCCAGCACTCGGGAGGCAGAGCCAGGCGGATCTCTGTGAGTTCGAGGCCAGCCTGGTCTCCAAAGCGAGTTCCAGGAAAGGCGCAAAGCTACACAGGGAAATCCTGTCTTGAAAAACAAAAACAAGCAAACAAAAAAAGAGTGGACTGGCTGATGCTGGTAGTGGTGGCATGAGCCTTTAGTCAGCACTCTGGAGGCAGAAGCAGGTGGATCTCTGAGTTCTAGGCCAGCCTGGTCTACAGAGCAAGTTCCAGGACAGCCAGGTGCTACACAGAGAAACCCTGTCTCAAAAGAAAAAAAAAAAAAAGTGGATTGGCAGGAAGGCATGCGCTCTCCCTACCCCAGCCCTACTCAAGAGGATGTTTGAGGTCTCCTCAAGCCTGGGGCTGAGGTAGGCTAGTGTCTAGACCAGGCAGGTACAATGCTGAGGGGCAGAGCTTCTAGTCTTCAGTCTTCCTCCTACATGCGGCTCTGGGTTTGAAGTAACGAGCCAGGGTGCTTCCTCTTTGAGCCCAGGGCATCATCTGCCCCGACAGCTTAGCCAGGGCCAGTGGAGGAGGAGCTGCTTAGAGGCTTGGGGTACTGAATAGTGCCCTTGGTGTGGCTCCCCAGAACATGGTCAGGGTTCCCTGCTGTCCCAGATGCAGAGTGCCAGGAGGAGCTTCCCAAGCTAGAGTTCCCCATGCCTGAGCTGAGCCTGTCTACACAGCACTGGCCAACCAGACATCGGGACACAACCTCATGGTGGGCGGAGGGATGGGTCACTGGGCCATCTCCATGACACTGCAGACTTCCCCAGTCCACCAAGGTGTTACCATTTCAGATCTGGCTCCAATATCAAATAATCCTTGGAAGTCCCTTGCTGAGCTAACTTAACCTGGTCTCTTCGCTTCAGACCTTCTCAGGGCCTTTCATAATCATCTCGCCATGAAGGTATGTCAGATACAGCTTTTAGCAAAAGTGCTTTGACTCGGGAGGCCATGGGAAGCTCCAAAACACTGAGCTAGGGGAATGGGGGCACAGGCATACAGGTGCGAATTCTGGAAATCTTCAAGTGAGCATGAGTAATCCAAGGTATGAGAAAAAGCAGAGGCCAGCTCACCTGTGAGATACGAAGGACCCAGCCATCCTGCCGGAAGGATGTGGATGTGGGCCAGGGCGGCAGGCTTGTCAGAGCAGGTGTGTGGGGCCACCTTGACTGTGGGCATGGGCATACATGTGCACATGCCGAGGCACATACCCGAGGAGACACACTCAGGGTCACATGCAAGCAGATGCCCGAACAATGTGTCTGCAGGAGCATGCACACATCTTGTGGAAGCCTCTCCCCCACCAAAACAGAAGAGCAGCCATCACACACGCACCACACCCACACAAACCCATGCACCGTACAAGCTCACACTTAAAATGGCAAGGAAGCAAGTCACAACGCAGTGCAAATGGACAGACACACACACACACACACACACACACACACACACACACACACACACAGCCACAGTCTGGAGCCCAAGCAAGCACAGACAGGTACACTGCGTGCAACACCAACTTGTGCACACCGGGGCTCCTTCCAGATGCTGGAGCAAGGGGACACGTGTGGACATTCAGGTTAACACAGCTGCATCCTCACAGCATGTCTAAAGCTTTGGAAATGGGACCCTGGGGTGGGGTGGAATCTTAGTTTCTGGGAGAGCTGGGGGACTCAGGAGCATGTGGAACACTTCCCAGGGGCATTTATCCTTTGAGTATTTTTATCCTTGGCGCTGGAATGTCACACAGTTACTGGGTAGCTTTAGTACTGCTGCCACAAAGAGGGATGGGTGGCTGGATTAAGGGTGCCCCTTGTTTGCCCCCAGTGTTTCCTCCTCCAACATGTCAGGTCTCCTAGAGGCCTGCCCAGGCCACCAGCCAAACAGGTTGGGTACAGTGCCTGCCCGGCCTGTGTAAGGCACTGGGGTCTATCCCCTCCACACTATGAGCCAGACAAGAGCAGATGAAAAGCACCTGGAGAGGAGAGGACTGCCCCCAGCCCACAGTCTGGATGGCCTTTCTTGGGGCTCAGCGTCTCAGAGCACTGTGGTCCAAGGCCATCTTTCTGTCTGGTTGTGGCCCCATGTGGGTGGCACTCCCCGGCTGCCCTGCATTTACATAGCGTTTTCCACGCTGCCTGAGCTGTCAGAAGATCCAGGCAAGCGCCTTCTGGCTGGTGGACGGACGGCAAGCCAGTGGATTTCCAAATCTATTTAATCCCTGGGTTCTGACGCACCCAGTTCACCCCCAAGCAGGATCTAGTGCCCACAGATCTGATGTCAGAGGGAAGGAGTGGCCTCCGCTGGCCTTGGCGTCACTCCAGCCCTCCTGCCCACGTGGCAGCCTGGCAGAGACAACACAGAGGAAGAAATGCCCCAAAGCCCTTGCCTCTTGAATCGCAACCATTTGCTGGCCCGCAAACATCTGCACAGGCTAGAAAAGGACAGTGGAAGAGAGTGACATGGAAAAGTGATCAGGGACTCACAAAGAGAGCCGAGCGCTGGAACACAATCTTCTGTTTATCTGACCACAATAGAAAATGGACTTAGCCACGGGGGGAACTTGGAAAAGCTAACAGACTCTCTGTGGAAATTTATCATTCAACAAATATTTATTGTCAGACCGACTGAAGTTCTGGGCACACAGCAGTGGACAGACAGAAACCTTTAGGGAGAAGGTACAGGTCATAGAATATCTAAGGTTAATGTACAGCAGTTTAAACGGTGAAACGGACGGATGGAAAAAGCCATGGAGGGGCACGGCAGCTCGGCTGATGGGATCTTTTAAAAAATTTATTTGCTTTAAGAATATTTGTTTTCTTTATCATTATTGTGTGTGTGTATGATACATGGGGAACATGCCCGTTCCTTGGTACGCCCGTGAAGGTCAGAGAGCAACTCTGTGGCGTTGATTCTCTCCGGCCACCTTCCCAAGGGCTCCAGGGATGGACCTCAGCCTGACAGGCTGTGGTAAAAGCTTCACCCTCTGAGTCACCTAGCCAGCTCGTTTACCTTTTTTGAGACAGGCTTTTACCAAGTAGCCCGAGCTGGCCTCAAACTCCTGATCTTCTGGTCTCTGCCTCTTGAGTGCTGGATTACTGGTATGCTCCACTATGCCCATCTTAGAGAATGTGATTTCAAAACAAACAAAAAACAGAATGCACTTTTAGGGTAGTTGTAGATTCATAGAAAAATTAAGAACACAGCATAAGACTTCCCCATGCCCTTCCCCCACCATAGTTTCTCCATCAGTGACACCATCCTCCTGCCTCAGCCTCCCAAGTGTTAGGGTTTCGGTGAGTGTCACCACACCAGTGGTGATTATTATCCATAGAAACCTCTATAATCCTTTCACTAGGCTTCCTTTGTCCATCTAGTCCTTTCTGTTCCGGGACCCCTCCACACACCACGTTCCATCTCATAGTCCTCCCTCTAGAGGCTTCTCTTGGCCAAACCACGTCTCACAGACTCCATGCTTTTGATGAGTCTAGTAGTTTTGAGGGGTCCTGGCCAGGTATTTGGTAGATGCCCTTAAATCCAAATCTGCCTGCTGGGAGCTGGGGATGGTAGAATATCCCCAGAATCCCCGTATTTCAGAGGTGGTAGCAGGAGAGACAGAAGTTCAAGGCTATCCTCAGTTACACAGTGAGTCCAAAGTCAGCCAGGGCTACACAAAACCCTGTCTCAAAATATAGAAAAATACAATTAAAAAATTTTTTTTTTTTTTTTTTTTTTTTTTTTGCATGCCGTTTCATCACATGACTAAACTGGGGTTGTGAGGCCCGGGGAGCAGGTGCCAAAAGGGCTTGCCATTTTCTTTACGACTTGGGCCACAGTACTAACTTGACCACGCTGCCGGTGGCCTCGGCCCTGGCTGGTGCACACTGTAAAGCCTCTGCTGAGGAGGCCCTGGCCTTCTGGGCCACATGACACCCGGGCTCTTCTCTCCCACCGACTGCCTTCTTCAGTCACTTATTGTCACAAGCCGGTGAATGTTTTACCTCTGGGTTATACAATCCAGTCCCCCCCTCCTGCGCTGGGCAGATGCTCCAGCTCCGTGGAACACGCCCACATTCAGGTGGATCTTGTCTCCAACCCTTCCTCTGGCTCTTCCTTTCTGATGCTGAAGATACTCCAGACTCATCGTGCACATTTCCCGCCCTAGTCTAAGAAGCCCTGAGTCCTTTCATTACAGAATGGTTATCAGAAAACAAGATCTGGGCACTGAGCGTGCTCTTGAGTTTTTAACATGGAGGTCACGAAGCAAGGCTGTCTGGATAAGAACCGTGACGGAAAACTGAAGAAGAGGAGGAGCAAAGCATGGAGCTACTTGGGGGAAGGAGACTCCACGAGGGAACAGTCAGTGCTAAGGCCCTGAGGCAGGTACATGGGTTGTGTAATCACAGAACAAAGCCGGTAGCTGAAGCAAATGAGCAGTAGAGGAGATGAGGCAGGGCAGGCAGAGATGGTAAACGACCATCACAAAAGACTTCGCTTTCCTCAGAAGGACGGGGGACCGGGCAACGGCATCATCTGACTCACTTCTTAATACAACCACTCTGGCTGTGAAGCCTGGACCAGAAGGAAAGGTGAGCAGCCGCTATCGGAACCGTCCAGTGAGTGCCAGCGCCAGCGGGGCTCCTGGGCCCGAAGCGGGGCTCCTGGGCCGCGGAGGGATGGCTCAGCGGCTAAGAGCATGCACTAATTCTTGCAGACTCGAATTCAATTTTCAGCAGCCACATCAGGCGGCTCACAACGGCCCGCAACTCCAGCTCCTGACAGATCCAATTCCCCTGGCCACTGGGCACCTGGACATAATTAAAACGAATCAAGATTTTTTTTTTTCAGAAGAAGGGCTTCCATGCAAATATATGCTTGTTATTATTTATTTATTATTATTATTTTTTTTTTGAGACAGGCTGTTGTCATGTAAGCCCGGCTAGCCTGGAATTCCTCGTATGGACCAGGCTGGCTTTGAATTTGATGACCGTTCTGATTCTGCCTGCCAAGTGCGGGGGTGACAAGTGTGAGCCATCAGGACCCACCTGAATACCAGCTAAAGGTAGAGTCGAGGGCATTTTCTGGCCTAGACACTGGGTGAGCACTGAATGGAGAGCACTAGGGGTTCTGTCTGACTCTGTAGGAGGAGGTGGCTATGCTTAGCCAAGCAGGGGGAGACTACAGGCGTGGTAGGTTGGGGACTGGCCTTCTGAGCATTCCAGGCTTGAGGGGCCATCATTAACCCAAGTGGGGATGGCGAGTTAGCAGTGAGGGGTGAGGGGAGCTGGTACAGACAGCAGTACGGACCTCCAGCCTGAGGAGGAGAGGGCGGGGCTCAAGGTCTGTACTGCTGGCCTGGACATCCCATGTGTCCACAGGCTTTAGGTCTGTAGGCACTGCTCAGCCTCAGTCTAACCCAAGGAGCCCACCTCAGCCACTAGGGCAGGGAGGGAGTCTGGAGGACAGCAGTCTGCTTCCTACTCTAGCAGGGTTTTGTATGAACACGGAGTGCTCAGGCATGCAAATGCGCCAGGCTAGACCTTCTTTCCAAGGGAACACATGTCAGCGCAGGTCCACCTACACTTGAGTGAAAAGATGGAAGGGTGAATGAATGAAAAAGTGAATGAATGAATGAATGAATGAATGAACGAATGAACATCTCTCCCCTCCTAGGGCTCCCAGGCCTGGCTCCATTCTCCTCAAGTCTAACTGACTTGGCTCAGTTCTCAGACCTAAGTGGACTCTTCTGCATGAAAGACGGAAAAGAAATTCCCCAGACCTCAGCCAATCATACCTCCTCCCGGGTCTGCAATTCCCCCCTCCCCCCTCCCCCCACGTAAGGCAGAAACCTCCATCACGGCACCACTAGCTTAGAACCCGGGCCTCTGCTCTTCTTCTCACGGGTGCCCCAAAGCATCCAGAGGGTTCTTGCTAGAAAAACACATTGGTGACTGGGTGTGGGGGCACAGGCCAGTAAGACCAGCATCCCAGAAGCTGATGCAGAAGGATCAAAAGTTCAAGGCCTGCCCATCCTGCATAGCAAGTTCAAAGCCAGCCTGGGTAACTCAGCGGAGACCATAAACCTCACAGGCAGAGTTCAATGTCTAACACGGTAATAAGCAAATAAGCAAAAAGCCCAGTTCCCCTTAGCCCTCAAGATGGAGGGTAAGGGCCAGGCTCCGAGGCCTCCCTTCTAGGCTTTCTCCTCCAGAGGGCTGATTCTCACCCCATCCCACTGCAGCAGCCTCCACCCCTCCTTATAGCCTCCCCTGCCCTCCTCCACACTTGCCCCCCTCCCGACGGCAATCAACTGTTCGGACCAGTTGGAGAACCAGCTACGAATCCCGGGATGCTGTCTGCCCCGAGGCCTGGCTCTGCCTTGTGTTGCAGGTGCATGGTGAGCCTTGCGATCTGGGCCTGGGTGCAAGACGGAGGCTGCAGGGCAAAGAGCAGTAACGGAGGTTATGGAGCATGCTGAGGGTGCCTGACGGCTTCCTGGAAGAAGCCATTGCTTGGCCCAGCTTCCAGGCTGCCTGACGACGGGAAACAAGCTTTCTGTCCTGAGTTTGATCTACTAGAGGTTCAGGAAACAGCCACTAACTGGCGAGACTAGTTAGATTCCTCTAAATAGTAGTGATGGTGACTTTCCTTTCGTTTTTTGCATTTCTCTGCTTTCCGCTAAAAAGAGAAAAATAAAAATAAAAAAATAAATAAAAAAAAAAAAAAAAAAGGAGGCAGGCTCTCTTTTGAAGGAAAACCAAAGACTAACACTGGGCTGTTCTGCCCTGGTGTTGGTGAGGGAACCCCTGTATCAGCTGAGCTGGAGAGGCATGTCTGTCCTGTGGACTCGAGGGCAGAGGCTGGAGTGCCCAGCGACGCTCTGCACTGTTGCCGGGAACTGGAACCCACCCCGACGTCCATCAACAGTCAAATGGGCGGCTAGATTATGAGAGGCACCCAAGTGACAAGTGACCTCTGAGTAGCCGGGGACCGCCCGAGACAGCACAGCTGGACCTCACAGACAGGACACTGAGCACAAGAAACGCCATACTACCCAGCAGGTACTGTGTAACGCCATGCCACATGTGGCCTTGTGAAAAACTGGCCACAGCAGCCTACAGGGCTGGAGAGCCGGCTGCATGGGGGCCACCCTCAGACTTGTCAGTGGGAGGGTTTTTTGATGAGCTGCTGGTGTTGGTGGGTGCAGATTTGAGGGATGGCTTCTGGTTTCTGTTTTTGAAACATGGGGTTTCACGGAGTCCAGGTAGCCTCAAATTCTGTATGTAGCCAAGGATGACCTTGAACTCCAGTCCTCTACTGGCTCTACTTCCTGAGTGCTAGGATTAAAGGCAAGCTCTATCAGTGGTGCCAGAGATGGAGCTCAGGGCTTCACAAGCTAGACAAGGACCAAGTGGGCTACATCCCTATCCCGGCATCCTCTGCCCAGGGCTGTGTTTTGGTCTGGGTACTGGCCACATGGCGATGATCACTTTGTGCTATGTCCCTCAGCTGCATACTTTTGTCTAACGGTCGGCCTGTGTGCTTGACCCCCTTCCCTCAAAGTTTTGTTTTTAAAAATAGAAGGTACGCCAGCGGGGGTGGCCCACGCCTTTAATCCCAGCACTCGGGAGGCAGAGGCAGGTGGATCTCTGTGAGTTCCAGACCAGCCTGGTCTACAGAGTGAGATCCAGGGCAGGCACCAAAACTACACAGAGAAGCCCTGTCTGGAAAAACAAACAAACAAACAAACAACAGAAGGTATAACCTCCACCCCCACCCCGCAGGTTAAATCTTCCTCCCTTTTCTGTCCACAAGGAGGTAGGGAGCTGTGTCTACCTCCTGGTGCACAACCAGCTGCCAGATCGTTGTCGCTGGAGTCTGTCCATCCACTTAGCTTTCCAAAGTGAGACTGGGGACTCTTGTTTCCATCGAGCAGAGAACACATGCCTCTGGGGTCAACTCCGTATCAGATCAGGCCTCTCTGGAGGTTGGGCTTGTCCCTCCAGCCTGGGACACTCTGGGCCTCCCTGCCTCAACTGGAGCAGCCTGAGAACTGGCTTGGTGGGCGGGGTGCAGGGTACAGGTGCCTGCGTTTGGGGGCCTCATGCTCAACGACCTTCTGCCTTAATTTAGGTTGCAGGGAAGCCCAGGAAGCCTGGCCTGACCTTGCGCGCCACCCCCAAAGGTCAGTTCTCGGGGGTTCAAGTTCCCGTGGTGGCCGGGAGGCCAGAAATCAATCCGGGCCGGTCGGCCAGGGAGGGGCGGGGATCCAGCGAGCTGCCCTCAGCAGCCTGGCACGGTTATTTATAACCGTGGGTCGCCTTACCTCCTGACCTTCAGCCGGAGCAGCGATCCACCGCGATTAGCATCTCTCCCGCCGCCCACTGCGAACAAACACCCCTCTGTGAGGTCTCCGGGAGGGCCTGCCGGAAGCAGGATGTTGACCCGTGGCTCCTCAGGGTGGATCCAGTCCCATGTGAGTGGGGAGGGGGGTGCGTCTGCGGGAAGGTGCTGCAGTTACTCCTGTGGCCTTGCTTCCCGGGTTGCAAATGTTCTGGACTATTCTGGGCAGCAGTTTTATTTACAATATAGGACTCCCCAGCCTGGGTCTGCTCCAATGGGTACCCGCTCTGAGCCAGAGAGAATGAAGCGGGCAGCCCTGGTGTCTGGAGTTAACCGTGCAGATGCGACCTTTGGTACCACACTGCACATTGGAGCCAGGTCACAACCATCACACAGAACTCCCAGACCTTCCCTGGTTGTTGGTGTCCCACTGGACCCCAGAACCCCCACCAGTGGCCTGGGGGAGGGCAGGGCAGGGGACACCACCCAGGTTAGTCATTCATTCAGGAGTTTTGTTGGGTCTCTAGGCCCCTCCCAGGAGAAGTTATTGCCTGTGGGGCTGTCAGTGGAAAGTCCACAGAGAAGCCCAAGTCGGGGCAGTGGCAGAAGGGATGTGTGAGACCTGGAGGTGGACCCCAAGACAGGGAGGAGGGGCGGGCGGGGGGAAGGGGCTGTGTATTTGCCAAGGACAGACAAGGCCAAGCTCAGCATCACATTCTAAGCCAGCAAAGGCTGTGGCTCTGTAGCAGGGCCTCCCCCAGGATAGCTTCCAATGACCTTGCCCCCAGCACAGAGGGCGAAAGTCTCACCCAGTGCCCATCTGGGTCGTGGACCTGGAGAAGGCTGTGGACAGGTCAGGGGCAGCTGGTTCTGCCTTTTGAGAGGCTTGGGCTCAGTGTGGTAGGAGGACTGGGTAGTTTTTGTTCTGTTGAGACTGGATCTCACTAAACGGCGTTGGCTGGCTTGGAACGCTACGTAGACCAGGCTGGCCTCAAACTCATTTGGTCTGCCTGAGTGGTTAAGGACTAGGGCACCACATGCAGCCTCTGCCACAGTCTTGCCCACCCTGAAACACTGACGGTAAGTACTTCAGCTGTGGGACTTAACCTCCCTGCTTACCCTCTCGAGGCCCGTTTCCCCAGTGGGCAGGGAAGGCATTAACTGATGGTGAAGAACAGTCTCAGCTCCTGTTCCTGGGGCCTAGCCGCCTTCTAGACTAGAGGACTACCACCACCCACCTCCCCACCTCCCCACCCCACCCCCCTCTGGCTCAGCCTGCACGTGTCTTTCGAGCTGGTGAAGGTTCAAGGGGACAGATCAGAGAGAGGTGTGCGTGCGGCTGTGGCTGGAGTGGCCATGGGTGGCCAAGAAATCATTCCACAGTATAAAGATTAGGGTGTGTCCTTTGTAGGAGGTGCCGTACATGGGGGGCTGTGTTGGATCTTTGTGGGGGTGCAAGGAAGAGAGTGTGGGTAATAGTGTCAGAGTGTAGGGTGTGGGCAAGAGTTACAGGGATGTTTTGGCGGGTGGGGCTGGGGACTTCAGGCCCTTCAAGGGCCTCTCCCTCATGACCAGTGTGTGGCAAGTGGGCCCTGACCAGTCAATGAACTCAGGGTCTGGAAGAGTCAGCGGCTTTTCCGACTTTTTTGCCAAATGGGATGTCAGCACTAGGGAGGGGCGGGGCAAGAGAGGGAAGGGGGATGCCGGCAGGCCCGGCAGGCTGGGAAGGTGCCAGTGACTTCATGACAGCTGGCTGCAGAGCAGCTGGCTGAGGGGGCGGGGAGGTGGAGCCCGCCTGGGCCAGGAAACCTGCCCCCTTGGCCACTGGTCAAGGCCAAGGCTGCTGTTCCTTTCCAGACAGGGAGAAGCAGCGTGGCCTCAGTTCCCTTCCTGGGGCCTCCCCCACTGCACACCAGCCATCCTGGGTGAGGACACCTGCTCCACTTTACAGATAAGGAAACCGAGGCTCACTGAGGCTCACTGGGGATGGGGGGTAGCACGTTCCCTGCTGCGCCACACAGGGGCATTTAGCCACTAAAGACTGAGGGCCTGCTGTGTGGGGGCAGCAGGCCTTCTCTGAACCCCTAGGCACGAGGCTCTCAAGTCCCCCCCAAAGGAGCTCCTTCTTGGGGAGCGCCTCCACATAGTTTCTTCTATTTGGGGAGCAGGCAGTCAACATCAACAGCAGTGTTCCCCATCCCCGTGAATAGAGTCTTGGGCGCCCCCCTACCCCAGGCCAGAGGCAGCCTTCTACAGCAGACTGACTGTTCTTTTCCAGCCAAGGCTCCATCGACTGCTGGCGCAGACTGGTTCCTCAGCAGGGCTGGTGGGACAGCTGATCACAGACCTGGTGGGTGTAAACCTGGCCTTTGTACCCACAAGCTGAGACCAGCTTTTGGGGGTGTTCTTTCTTCCATCATTTACTAGTTCCCCATAAGAATAATGACTGGCCTATGTATCCTTTGTAGTTCATAGAGGACTTTCACAGACATTGTCTGGGTTAGTGCTTACCTAGCCCCGTGACAAGCAACTCACACACCCATTTTATAGAATAAGAAACTGAGGACAAAGAGGGAGGTTCTGGATGAGACTCGGATCACAGGGCCAGGAAGTAGCTGGCGCTGAGGCCTCTCTGACCCAGACACCTGCCACAGCAGCAGCCTTCTCAGGGAGCATGGCAGTCATGTGACCGAGCGGACAGACTGGGTCCTGCAGCCAACAGCGAGCTATGCAGCAGCCCTGTGCATCTCCAGCCCGGAGTATGTGAAGCCTACTCCGTCTGCTTGTCCTGTGCGGGGTGGGGGAGGGCAGTGGCGCAGGGAGGGATTAACAGTGAGGCAAAGGTGACCAGGGCCGAGAGCTGGCCGCGGAGTGCTCGGGAGGGTCTCCTAGAACAGGGCTGGTTGTTGGTGGTGCCGAGCGCTGGCCAAGGAGTGGAAGGACCAGCAGCATTTCCTGGAACAAGAGTCGACCAACAGTGCCTAGGGCCAGCTGCTGCCATGGGTGGCTCTGTCTGGAGCTGGAGGGGAAGGACAGTATATAGGGAGGTGAGAGGCTCTCAAATGGAGATAGGCTCGGAAAGCCACTCTCCTCCGAGTGGGACACTCTCAGCCCCTCCTTGGGGCATGAGGGCACTCAGTCAGCAGATGAAGGCCGGTGCTGGTGGCACCCCTACTCTTTATGGAAATAACAGTGATCAGAGAACTGCAAACACTGCGGACCTACAAGCCACCCGTCCCTCCAGGGGCTCTCGGTCAACCTATATGGAGGAAGCTGTTTTATGTATGTGGAGGGGGGGTCCCCATTTTCATTAAGGTTTCTGAGACGGTCTCATTGGGTAGCACCGGCTGGCCTGGCCCTTGTGATCCTCTTGTCGCAGCTTCCCCAGTTTGGGGATTACAGGTGCCTACTGCATAGAGATCTAGTTTTTAATTGAGGACTGGCTAGCTAGAAAGCTTCTCCTAGGCCCTAAGGGAAGGGGTTGGGATCACACCCTGCTTCACCCCTGCCACTACAGAGCCTCGGCTTCCTTGGGGAACCTGAGCAAAAGGAACATTCTAGTAAGTGTACTGGGAATTCTGAGAAAAGTTTCAGGGCCAGTTCTCCATGCCATCTACCCTTGACTCCTTTCTGACTGGGAGCTGGGAGGAAATGTTCCCTTAAACCTCTCAGCCCTCCTGGGCTGTGGCTGCCTCCCCCAGAGCCCTCAAATAATCCAGACCCTGCAAGGAGACATCATGGGTACGGTTGGCTGGCTGCCTCTCTGAGAGGGCATGTCAGTAATGTCACGGCCAAATATAGAGGGAACCAGACACCTCATAGGCCCAGGGCCCGGGGAGCCCCAAGGACTCCACAGTGCCTGCCCCACCCCCAGCTCTTCTGAGCCCTCCTCCTCCCTCCCCCCAGCTCGGGCAAGCAGCCAGGAGACTGGCATCCCCTCTCCTGGCCCCAGCCCACTAGGGGACATGTCCCAACAAGTCCGAGCACAGCAGGAGGCTGGCTCAGGGGGTGGGGGCAGAGTTTGAGCTGGGTGTGAGCGTGGGGACACCTCTCCAAGCCCTTTTACAAGCGTACCTTCCCACAGGGCTCTCAACACCAGGAGGCCAAGAGGAACCGCCCCTGTCCTCTGTTCTTTAGCTTCCCCCAGACCAAGACCATAAAGCTGGGGTGGGGGAGACCAGAGAGCCAGGCCAAACCCCAATAAACTGCTGGCCGAATCGAACTGCAAATAATTAGTCCCAATCGCCTCCACCCTCCTCTCTGGGGAGTGGAAAGTCAAAGGGCAGAGTTGCTGACGCAAATGTCAGGGGAGACATGTGGAGGCTTGAAACAGCTGGGCTCCTGCTCCCAGCGAGGTCACTGGGGCCCTGAACACTGTGTCCCCCAGGGCAGCTGGGAGAGCTGTTCTCAAAGACCTTGAGGTGAGGGGGCTCTGTGGCTTTCCCCTCCTGATTCTGAGGTCATTAGAGCCCGATGGAGAAGGTTAATCAGACTCTTGGGAAAAGACCTCTGTCTCCTGTGAGGGGGATCCTGGCTCCAAACCCTCTTCTAGGTTGGACCTCCTGTGGGCACGCCTTGGCAGCTCTACCAGTCTGTGCACAGTGGTGACCCCCAGTGGTCAATGCTAGACTTGAACTTGGGCCTGGGCTGTTACCATTCAAACATTGCAGCCTCAGCCCCAGGCCAGGGAACCTTGGACACAGCAAGAGCAGCCTGGGGATTTGGCTTTGGTCAGGGACATTTACCAGGTCTTAATTTTTCCTCATTGAATTGTGGCTAGACCTCAGCTGAAATATCCCACTGTTAGCAGATCAGGGTCAACATGGCTAAGGATGAACTCATCATCTCCTGGCTCCAATCCTGCTCCTCCTCCGGACTTCCCTGTTTCCATTAATAGCACTGCCACCACCCAGTCCCTGGAGCTCCAAACCTTGTCATCTCCAACCCCTCCTCTCTGGACTGGGCACCTGCCCTGCCCCTCCATCTTCCAGAGAGACAGCCCTTTGCAGAGCGGCTGGTGTGCGCAACAGCACCACCCAGAGGCCAGGCCTGATCACGTGACCCAACACCTGCTGACTGTGTCTTGGGGCCGGCCAGTCTCGGCTTTCTCGGCTATAACCTAGTGAGAATAATCATTTCATAGGATGATGTGTGACTCGAGGGACAGACAGTACCCCGAAGCCCTATCACGGAAGGTCCTAGACAAAGGAGAATTCTACACATCATGTCCTCCAAAGCCTACGTTTTACAAATAAGGCCCAGAGAGCCAGGGTAGGAACTAACAGGGGTGTTGAATACTGTCTTTACATCACACTGCACAGCTAGGCACAGGCCCTTGGAAATTCCTGCTAGTTTTAGTGTTTTTCCCTCCGCCATCATCCCCTCCCAGAACCCAGAATGAGAGGCTGCCTCTGCGTTCATGAGGCCCATCCCCTTGCCTTCAGGGGCAGGTTCACCGGGCAGGTATTGAGGTCACTTAGCTATAGGAAATAATTCTGAGATGTGACCACCACAGGTCACATACAGCAGTCTGAATCAAGGCAGCCCGTCTGCGGCGAGGTTCTAAGTGAGGCTGCGCACACAGCCACTGGCCTGAGGGGATGGCCTTGTGTCAGCTGTCCAAAAGGGTAGGGGTCTCCTCCTGTGACCCTGCTGCCTCTTCCCTGTCACTCCTACCCCAGTGTCCATGTAATTCTTAGGGTCAGGAGCTGGGTGACCCAGCTTGCTGCTGCTATCTAGTCCTGTTTCCCTCTGGGCAGATGTTCCTTTCATTCACCCTGTCGATAAGGACCTGGATTCCACACGTTCCCTTCAAATGAATAGTAAGAGCCACATCCTGGGAAGAGGGGCATAATCATTACCAGATACCCAAAGGGGTCCTTTATCCTGAAGAGGCCACAGCAAGAACATGGGGTAGAAAGGCTTTTAGAATGAGGAGGATGGGCCATCCTCAAGTCCTTGGTCACCTGTCTTCTGAGACCATGGTTCTCAAATGGATGGCTGCTTCTGTTCCCAGGGAACATTCAGAAGCATCTACAGTTTCTGTTGTCACAACTGGGAAGTGGGTACTGCTAGCTGTCTTTAGTCAGGACAAAAACCTTGTTATGCAGCCTGTTAGTGCTCAGGGCAGACCAGGACACAGCACTACCAGCCAATGGGCACAGACCCCACCTTCACAGACTTTGTAATGATCCTGGTGTTCTTGCTCCCCTGCCCAGCCTGGGGAAGTTTCTAGAATAGTCCATGCTGACTTCTCAACTCTTTCAACAAGGATAAATAGGAGGACACCCAGGCCTGTGTACTCACAATCCCATTTCTTGAGCCGTGTGTCCCCTGGATCTGCATGTCGTCCTTCATGAGGGGGAAGAAGAGACAGTGAGGAGCAAGCTAGCTGCCTCAGCTCTCTTCAGAACCAACCTTCAACCCCAGGAGAGATGGACTTGCTGAGGAGCAGAGGTACTTCAGTCTCTACAAACACTGTGCCCATATAATGACCACTGTCTTTCCCCTGGGACTGGCTGGTGTCCCCAAATGGAATTCCTAGAGCTGACCCCTAGAGCTCTGCCAGGCTGGCTTATACAGCTCTGCTACCAGAGTGTCTCACATTATCCAGGTATCTGCTCAAGGCAGCTGACAGCAAGTCTCTAAGATTCCACTCTGGCACTGCTTACCTTGCGGGGCGGAGACCCACAAACATGCCCACCCTGTCTTCTGTCTCATCTTAATGGAGGACGCCACCTCCCCCATCACGGCGATGGTCAAGCGATTGGAGAGTGGTACTGGGCCTGGACGCCCCCCAGCTGTAGCCCCTGAGAAGCCCAGGCGGGGAGTTTTCCAAAAGATGCAGCAATGATGGCAGAGCCCTGGAGGAAGGAGGAGCCCGCTGAGTTCCTAAGTGCAGGTGAGGCTCTGAGGGATCTGGGAATACAGAAAAGCCACCGCTTGCCTCAGGGGTCACCCCTTTTTGGGATCATGCCTATCTCCTGGAAATCCCTCCCTGCTCCATGGCATTCACTTTTTACCTTTGCTTCCACTGTGTGTGTGAGGGGCCATGGCCGCCAGCCTGTCCCAGTGTTCCACCCAGCGGGTCACCCTCACTGTCTATCAGTCTTCTAACTATAGAGCCCCAGAGTTGGGGAGGGACAGCGATGGCCTGGCCTTCCTGCCCGAGGGGTTCCTGCCACTGCTGTACTGGTCCAGGACCCCCAAAGAAGGGCTGGGAACCTGACTGCTGGCTAACCCAGCCCCTCCCCAGCTTTCCTTTGCCCCAGCAACTTCGCCTGGCTCTTCCCTTGCATTACCGGCATCGTCTAGGCCTGTCAGCTGGTGGGGTCTGCAGAGCCACACAGGGCCCAGTGCAGGATGGTACTTTAAACATGGGGATGCTATTTCCCTAGGGGCACTTCGGCTGGAGTTTGGGGCATTCATATCCACCCTCCGGAACACGTGTGAATGCTCTGAAGCATTAAACTCTGAGCTTGAGGCTGGCAGTCACTGCTGTTGAGATGCCCCATCCTTCAGGCCTGTGCCTGCTTTAGATAGAGGTGTGGTCCACACAAGCTCTCATTTGGCTGGACTGCGAGAAGACCTCAGGGAGGCTGCAAATGCCTCACCATGGGCTCTGCAACTTCCTGCTTACTCCACATGGCCTCCACCCTCTGACCCTCTCCTGTCAGCATCCTGGACAGGGAGTGTTGGTCAAGTTGGTCTCCCTCCATGGGACTGACAGTCAGACCTCACCCGTCCCAGCCTTCAGTGATGTCTACTCTGTCTTTCTCCTTAGGAAGATCCACTAACATGTAACTAACACTGGTCACAGATGGTGGAGAGCACCCCCCGCCCCAGACACACCTATACACATGCTGATGATAGTCCTGGGGCAGAAAGCTATCCTAGAACCTATCTGACCCAGCACTGCAGTGCAGACCCCACCAGCTGACAGCCCTAGACCACGCTGGTAACACAAGGGAAGAGCCAGGCAGAGTTGCTTGGGGCAGGGGTTTTTGTTGTCTTTTAGAACTGAAAACCAAGGGTCAGAGAGAAATACCAGGCTAAAGCAGTGGCCACACAAAACAACTTCAGAGGGGTTCATGAGCTTCCTGGTGGCAAGTGCAGTGACTAGCAGGTCCCTGAGAGTAAGCTGAGGAGGGAGTATAGAGAGGAGAGGGGAGTGCAGCCTGGGAGGTTTATTCTGGGCACACAGATGTTCTCCCTCTAATCCTTACCCCCTCCTTTCTTTCCAGCAGCAGCTAGAAAAGCCAGGAAATAGATGTGGATTGATGGCCTATAATGGGCTTAGTTAGTGCTGTGACCTGCTGAGTTATGTAACTCCTATTTATTATCGGCTTGGATGAAGTTTCCATTGAAACAACTCACTAAGCTGATTCTGTGACATTTCCTTTAGCTTCCCCAGAGGCGGCAGCAGAAAATTCCTCTGCAACTTCAAAGACCAGAAATTATGGTGTGGATGCTTTCAAAACCCTTAGGCCGATGTTTGTCTTACCCATCTCAAAATCTGCAACTTCAGCATCAGCCCCATGCTTGGGTCTCCTGGATGCCTAGGCTATAGGCTGCCTTGGTGGAGCTGAGCAAGGGCATCTTCCTGCCTCTAGCGAAGGGGTGAGGAGAGCCAGGGCAGTGAGAAAGGACAGCAGCCTGGTGGGAAAGGCACTGAATTAAGAGTCAAAAGTTCCAGGCTCATCTTCCGGCTTGCTGGCACTTGGAAGGTGAATACCAATGTGGCGCCACCTTGTGCTGAAAAGGAAGAAGAACCTGGTCTCGTCAAAGCACAGTGGGTCTTCTTTCCCACCCCTTTCCTGCTCTGGGAGAGGTGGAGACTTACACTCCAAGGACTCTCCCTAACTAAACTTCATCTCTCATCCCATTATCTCAGCTGCTAAAGGGGCCCTAGGAAGAAGGTGTCTAAAGGTGTTGACACAGAATGCCTTATGCTGCCATTCCTAGTTCTTTGTGAAGTCCTTGGTAGCTTCTCCAAGGAAGCACAGGTGGCCTACACACACACACACACACACACACACACACACACACACACACACACACACACAGACAAAACCTGTCTCCACAGATGCAGACTAAACCAAAGAGCATGGAAGGCCAGTAGCTGAAAATTCACTCCCAAATTGGACCTCAACCACAAATCTTTGGGATGAGCTAAAGATTGAAGGTAGGCTTGTTGAGAAAGGGCAGTAGGAAAAGAAACTTAGGCAACTGCATGGAAGGATACTGGCATCTTGTTAATTGTTGAGTAATACACGATCTCATGAGCTATTGCAACAAAGAATCTCGAGACCATCACTGTGGTGCTGATGAAAAACAACAACAACAACAACAACAACAACAACAACCCAGTTTCTGAACAGTTACTCCATTTTTGGTTGTCTGCACCTGCTAATATCTCCAAAGATGCAATTTTGCCTTCTTGCTTGGGCAGAGTAATGCTAAGCTTTCATATCCTATCAAAAGCATAGACGTCTCCTGGACACCATTTCCCGCTCTGTTGTGCATTTGATGTTAGTGTTTTACTTAGTTCTGTGTCTGTTCTCCACTCGTTCATGTGCTGAGCTTGGCTTTGTTATTATAGGCAACAGGTATCAGGCATGTTGAATGGCGTCTATTGTCAACTTTACCACTGTTTCCATGCTCCTCTCTGTCTGCATGGAAATGGAATTAGCTCTTAGAGTAATGTAAAACATAGTCTTCCTGTGTTTAATTTTCAGGATCAATCTCCTTTTCCTTAAACTGGGAATGGTGAGTAACAAGAAAAGGTCTCTGACAGGGTCAGAGTACCTCTGCTTCTCTGGGAATCACCAGACTTTTAGGCCCACACAAGGCTTAGAACACTGTAAATAGATGGGACTTCCTGCAGCCAATGTTCTTATTTTAAGTGGACACTGCTTTGAATGTACAGTCACAATACTTGATTACATGTCACCATTTCTGAGTCAGCATTCCCCATCAACCTATGTTCCTTGAAGGTGTCTTACTCATCTACACATCTGACCTCTGGGACCACCAAAAGCCAGCTTCTGAATGCCCTGCAGGGTTGGGGTGTGTTGCACTGTACACATTACCTCATTTAGTCAAGAGAAGAATTATGGGGTATTATAGCAAGGGAACACAGTACTTATGTAACTATTAGAGGGTCACAAATTAGCAACCAGTGGACCAGGACTCCAACGCAGGTCTCACCCCACATGTGCAGCAGCCTCCATGTCCAGTTAATCTGGTTTCACCAATTGCTGAGATGCCTTCTCATCTGTCAAACCTGTCTATCAAAAGGCAGGGTATTTTCTATGGCCAGGCCTCTGGATCACGTGGGGTCAATAGTGCTCTCCACAGGGGGTTCTCTGAAGATCACCCGTGGATTTATGGGCACATATTTGGAAAAACTAGTTGTTACAAAAATGATACTATGGGCTCAGGGGTTAAGAGCACTGGCTGCTGTTCTTCCAGAGTCCTGAGTTCAATTCCCAGCAACCACATGGTGGCCAAAACCATCTGTTTTTGCTGTTGGTGTTTTTAGAGACAGGGTTTCTCTGTGTAGCTTTGTGCCTTTCCTGGAACTTGCTTTGGAGACCAGGCTGCACCTGCCTCTGCCTTCCGAGTGCTGGGATTAAAGGTGTGAGCCACCACTGCCCAGCCCAAAACCATCTGTAATGAGATCTGGCGCCCTCTTCTGGCCTGCAGGCATACATGCAGGCAGAACACTGTAGACATAACAAATAAATCTTTAAAAAAAAGAAAGAAAATGACACTAGGCATGATCAAGAAAAGCTAATGGGCTAGGCAGTAGTGACATACATCTTTTTACTCGGGAGGCAGAGGCAGGTGGATCTGTGAGTTCAAGACCAGCCTGGGCTACAGAGTGAGTTCCAGGACAGCCAGGGCTACATAGAGAAACCCTGTCTTGGAAAAAACAAAACAAAACAAAACAAAACAAAACAAAACAAAACAAAACAAAAAAAAACACCAGACAAACAACAAGCAAACAAACAAGCTAACAGCCTCTTTCTATGAAAACCGTAAGAAACTGTCTTGCCAAGCAAATACAGGCTCATGACAGGAAATATCACTTACCCCTTTAAGGTATCCTAATTTTCAACTGCCCTTGAATCAGAAAAGAAGGACTATGAAGCTGAGGTGGGGGTAAGCCTCACAAAGTTACCACACAAAGACCCTAACTGGCCAAGAATAAACGAAGCTTTGTCTCCTGGGAAAGAGGATGTCTGGGACTCCAGCAGGGCTGCTCTCATTCTCATAAGCAAAACAGTACCAACTTGAAGATCCCAGAATCACCTGGGTAACCTGAGAGGAGAGAAAGGAGGGGAAACCTTACGTGCAGTAGCTCCAGGGCAAATCATGGCCATAGCTCCCTCTTCTGGCCCGACTGAGAACTACAGCTTATGGCTGAGATTGCTCTTCCCAGAGTCAGGGTGCATTTTGTCATCCTATTATATTTTACGGCCTAAACTCAAATCATAGCTTTTATCTTTGTGGGCGGAAGCTATTTTGTTGCTTTTATCTCACCAAAAAAGCAAAGATATAAATTACTTGGATTCAGTGTCTTTTTTGATCAATTGTTAATTCTAAGTATTCCAACCTTCCCTAACCCCACCCCACTGGATGGCCCAGAAGTTGCCAGCAGGGATGTCTCTTGTTGTGTGAGCTCAAAGCCAGCCTAGTCTACAGCAAGGTCCAGGCAAGCCCAGGTCACATAAGTGAGAGCCTGTTCCAAAGGAATAAAATAAAAAAAAAAATAAAGGCTAAAGGTTATTATTATGAAATGGAAGTGGTAGCAGCCTCTGCCAGGAGTGAGCATGCAACTTTCACTCCTAGACTCAGGAGGTGAGGCAGGTGGATCTCTGAGTTCGAGGCCAGGAGGAGGAAGAGGAGGAGGGAGAAGGAAGAAGGACGAAGAAACCCACCCCTCTTTACATTTTTAAAATTACCCCTCCCAGTGTGTGTGTGTACATTTGTGTACATGCCAAGGCCAGAAGACAGCCTGTAGGAGTCGTCTTTTTCCTTCTATCATATGAATGGGTTACAGGGACTGACTGAGCACCTTTATCCACTGCGCCAACTCACTGAGACACCAAATCTCATCCTTTTTGAAAACGTAATCAAATCACGCCAAATGCTGCTGCACTAAAAGTGTACTTACACTGTGCTGCCATGGACCCCCTTTATTTATTATATTTATTTATTTATTTAATTTATTAATAATTAAATCACTCAATCAATTAATTAAATTATTATTATTCAGTGTTCTGCCTGCATGCCAGAAGAGGGCATCAGATCTCATTACAGATGGTTGTGAGCCACCATGTGGTTGCCAGGAATTGAACTCAGGACCTCTGCAAGAATAGCCAGTGCTCTTAACCTTGGAGCCATCTCTCCAGCCCATGGATCCCCTTTATCATTCATGTTTTCACATCTTTGAACAAGTGTATGACATGTGTCATTAAAATCCACATTTTGCTGGGCAGTGGTGGCACACGCCTTTAATCTCAGCACTCCCGAGTCAGAGGCAGGTGGAACTTGGGGAGTTTGAGTCCAGCCTGTTCTACAGAGTGAGTTTCAGGACAGCCAGGGCTACACAGAGAAACCCTGTCTCAAACAATAAAAACAAAAGCAAAAACAAAACAAAACACCACACTGCAAAATGTCTCTGACCACTGACGGCAATCGACTGCAGGAGGCTAAGTGTAGGTTTTACTCAACACTCCTGTCAACTGAATGCCCTCCTGACCACTGCCACGTGCCATCTGTACCATGAGCCACAGACATGTCCCCACTGCTCACTTTTAGACAGTGCCAAAGAACAATCTTGGCTCTCAGAAATGACATTTTATGGGATGTATTATTGGACTTTCTGGTAAAAATGAAGTCTAGAGCCCTAAGAAAGATAAAAACAAAGCACACTGGACCTCACACATGTTTCATATACATATTTATATATATTTCATGTACAAAGTTACATTCTGAACCCCAGGGATTCCATAATAGAAATAAATACTGAAATAACTACATTGCTAATGAGCTTTTTACTCATAGAAATGAAGCCTCGGCCTCTAAGAGACAGCAAATGGGCACTCTAGAACCCAATCTTATGAGGCAAGTAAAGTTCTGATGTCTAGGACAAAAAGAATTTAGGACATAAACAGTTAAAACATATTCAAATATTGAGAAATATAAGACAAAATTATTAATAAAACTTCATTTTTAAAAGAAAGAAAAAGACAATTAGTGTTACAGAATAGCACAACCCTGTTAGAAAAGCATTTATGATTTCAACATTTATTTCCTTCTCTCCCATGTGTCCAAGTGGGACGTCATCAGCCCCTTTCCTAACATGATCAATTAAGAAGAACCCTAAATCTGGTCGAGTCCTTTGGTAATAGTCATAATACTTACTAGGAGATAAATATCCATTTCCATGGCATTTGCAAGACACATTCTTTTTAGGTTAATATGAGGCATTTTGTTTTGTTACAAATGCTGCATATTAAGTGGTCTCTTCTCAAGCTCATGAGATGAACAATGCTACAGGCTGAGAGTATATTTTAACCTTTCCACTGCACGCACATTCCACCTGAAGAGTGACATGCTGCAGCCTGTGCTGAAACGTTCTCAACTCCCAGCAAGCTGCAACTTCTGAGAGATACAACATTACTATTTTATCAGTTTTGATCTACACGAGTTAGAGAAAAACACTCTCACTACCGAGTTTCTAGAAAGCAGCCTCCTTTTGCCTCCTAGAGATTTGAGCCTGCATTCCTAGTGTCAGACTGAGACATACACTGCTGCTTTTTATAGACCAGCAATGGCTGCATATTGGTAATTTCATATGGTTCAGCCTCATATATAACCCAGATGTAACAAAAACGAGAACTCAGTACTCTGCCTTCTTCCTCTAAGTTTTTTTTTTTTTTTACATGGGAGACTGCCCAAAGGCATTCAAGCCTCCTTTGCCCTGTGGAGGCTATGGCAATTTATACTCCTTTATTTTACTGTTTGTGAGCAGCTTACATCCGGGTATTTCTTCCAAAGATCACCCCCTTGACCAAAATAAACATCCCAAGAATATATGTGTTATGGGGGGAAAGAGGAAGAGAAGCAAAATTATAAATATAAGCACAGCCCTTAAAACAAGCTGTACGGGTGCATCTGCTCTCTCCGGTCCTTGAAATAAGTCCACAGGGCCACAGTGATTTGGGATCTTTAGCTAAAATCACCACACACCTACAGTCTGTGAGTGAAGTCAACGTCATTAAGTCTCAAAGAAACAATTATAACCAGGGTAACAATACACTTGCATGTTTCTTCTTTAGCTTCTGGTTTCCTGAGCTACACTGGACCACACAAACATGTAAAGAGCTTCTGAACAACAATGAGGGTGTCTGACTCTGGGACACTTACTTCTTGGGATTAAAATTCCCAGAAACTTTGGTGTCTCATTATGAATTTATACAACATTTCCAATAAATGTTGATAATGCTTTTTTAAAGTATTTGCCTCAAACAACTCATATTTAAAGTAAAGATATAGCAAACAAGTTATGGAAAAGTGGTCAGCTCTGAAGAAAAATGAGTATGTAGATCAAACAAAATATTATCCTCTATACAGATTTATCAAAACAGGTCTTTTTCTTTTAAAACATACAGGGGCCACAATTTTAGAGTGTGCCCAATGTGCTTATTGATACAAAAGCCTCCC